TGCTCAGACAAACAAGTTTGTTTACATTTGCAGGAGATAATGCTGCCTGCTTCTTGTTTGCAATGTCACCTGAAAGTGAGAACAGGTGTTCGCATGCCACTGTTATAGCCAGCATCACAAGATGTTTGCATGCCAGATGCACTAAAGATTCTAATGTCCCTTCATGCTTCAACCACCATTCCAGGGGACATGTGTCCATGCTGATGACAGGTTCTGCTCGCTAACAATCCAAAGCAGCATGGACCGATGCATGTTCATTTTCATCATCTGAGTCAGATCCCACCAGCAGAAGGTTGATTTTCTTCTTTGATGGTTCGAGTTCTGTAGTTTCCGCATCAGAATGTTGCTCTTTTAAGACTTCTGAAAGCATGCTCCACACCTCGTGCCTCTCAGATTTTGGAAGGCACTTCAGATTCCCAAACCTTGGGCCGAGTGCTGTAGCTATCTTTAGAAATCTTACTCTTTGCGTTTTGTGAAATCTGCAGTGAAAGTGTTCTTAAAATGAAAAAGATGTTCTGGGTCATCATCCGACACTGCTATAACATGAAATATATGGCAGAATGTGGGTAAAACAGAGCAGGAGACATACAATTCTCCCCCAAGGAGTTCAGTCACAAATTAAATTAATGCATTTTTTTTAAACAAGCGTCATCAGCATGGAAGCATGTCCTCTGGAATGGTGGCCGAAGCATGAAGGGGCATACGAATGGTTAGCATATCTGGCACGTAAATACCTTGTGATACCTTCTGATGGCTGTTTGGAGACATTTTTATGAATTCATTGCTAACTGTGACAGGCTTGCTCTACTCACCACTGGAGGATGCTGCTTCTTGGCGGTTTTGGGGATTAGCTCCATCAGGCCAACTCCCCTTCCAGCAGTTACACCCAAACAGTTTCTGCTCTGCAGCCCCTCTCTCGCTACAGGAACCATAGCTCCTTTTCGTGACTCAGCCCTCCAGCCAGGTCACTATTGTGGTTTCCCATTCCAGGGGATTGGGAAGGGGGGAGGAAGGTGCATCAAGATTCCTGCTCTTCAGACTAGTCTTCTGCTTCACTGCATCACAGTGCCACTCCCACAGCAGCTAGCAGGAGAACCCGGGCCCACCCTCTACTCCAGGTTGCAGCTCAGGCACCCTCTACACAGCAACCAAGGTCTGTTCCCTGCACTTGCTGCTTTCCCTGAGCCACTTCCACACCTACTAGCCTTCCCCACTCTTCTGGGTTTGCAAGTCTCTTCACTCCCTCCTCCCAGGGAGTAATTGTAGGCAACTTGTCCCTACAGCCTCCAACCCTTTCTCCCAGGGAGTAGCTATAGACTTCTCCCTGCTATCTCCTTTGCTTCCAATTTCCTGTCTTTTGTAGAAGCCCCACCTGTCCCTCACAGGTGAGCTTCTCTCTAATTAGCTGCCTCCAGCTCAAGCTCCCGTTTGTAACCTAATTAGCTGATTGGGCCCACCTGGCCTAACTCAGCTCTTGCAGGGCCAGTGTGGGGAAGCACACTAACATAAAATGATTTCAGTTAATTCTTCCCCCTGTTATCACTAAACACCCACCAAAAAGGAAATATTCTGCAGAGAAGCTTGTTAGTCTATGTCTTGGATTCATGTGTATTACTGCCTTATGCAGAATCATACCTGTATTATGCTGAGATCTGCCAGGACTCTGCTAATGACCATTAGCCATTTCAAGCCAGATTTTTAACTTCAGTGGGAGTTAGGTGCTTTTGAAAACCCCACTAGCTGCCTCTCTTCATTTTTAAGTGCCTAAATACCTTTACAAATCTGGCCCAAAATGGCTTGGCCTTCTAATGACTGCACCCAGCTATGCTGTTCTATTTCTGTGCTAGGCCTGACTACAGAATGATTGAGTGCTTGAGCTTCAGTGCTCCTTGAAAACAACATGATTTGTGCATCTGAAGAAGTGAGGGTTTTTTTACCCACGAAAGCTTATGCCCAAATAAATCTGTTAGTCTTTAAGCTGCCACCGGACTCCTTGTTGTTTTTGTGGATACAGACTAACACGGCTACCCCCTGATACTCCGTGCTCCTTGAGTTATGGTGCTCCTTGGAAGCAGTTGTTTTGCAGGAGTGTCTCATGCATTTTGTTTTGTCACTGCCTCACATCCAAAAAGCATCACGTTTCCCAGTAATGCCGACTTAGTTGGACATGCTTTCAGATTGCTGCCCGCTGCGGGGGCCAAGTGTGCAGTTCTAGGCTACTGAGCTGTAAATTTGTGGCCGAGCTTGCCTCTTGGAGTCACATCTTGCCAAGACCTTTCCTTAAAACAGAGTGTCAATAGGTACATTGTTCATGTCTTAGGCAACTGAACACTCCAGTGAACTTAAAAAGGTTACTGAGATTCCTGTTACAGTACAACCTGTCAACCCCAAGGGCCTATAAAGTCTGTCTTTGCCTAACATGGCAAATAATCCTAACTTGGCAAATAAATGGCAACAGGTGAAATCAGATAGAGGCACGTAGCACCTGAGTTCCCAAGCAATCCAGCAGGAGAGTTCCTGCAAAAGAGATGACACATGTAGTAATACAAGGGCTGTCCATCTAACCCGGGTTCACTAGTGCTTGGCAACTAGGTGTTTGACACTATGAGCAGGTGCTAAGCCATCTCAGCATGTGAGCATGTGTATTGCTGGCCAAAACGCCATGGGCTCAATCTTGCAGTCCATAGGCATCCAAAAGGTCCATTGATTTTCATGAGAATTTGGCCCAAATACGGATAGATTAGTGACAGGAAAAAGAAAAAGAAAAAAGCAGGAAGTGAGAGAGAAAATGTGCAAAAATGGCATCCTGTTCTTCAAATGGCTCTGTTTGCGATATATTCACTACAATTATTTGTCTGTAATATTGCAGTTATTCCATCATTTTATTAGAGATCGCAACAAGAAGTGACCCTGTGCAGGTAAGAGTTGAAGAGCTATTTGTGAACGTCCTCCTAATTTTGATCCTGCTGCCATTGAAGTTATTCTCAAAACTCCAGTTGACTTCAGTGGGAGCCGGATTTGGCTCACCGTACCGTGTTCACAACGGTATATATTCCCGTCATGGATCAAAATCTTCAGTGCTTACTCAGGGCTGGAGCTTTATTTTGGTTACATGGGTTTAAATCCAGTTCCAGTGGAGCCATGCAACCAGTGTAAGATTCCTCCTGGCCCCACCAGCCCCTGGGATCCTTGAGAGATATGCAGTGGAAAAGAGAATACAGCTTCTGTTCTATTCTTTTTTTCTGGGTATGCTCTGTGGGGCTGGAGTGGGGATGAGGTATGTCACTCCTAGCCTTACCCTTGACCTGTCCACCCCTCCTTTGGCCTGCTCAGTTTCCAGTCCTCCCACAATACAGCCCCACACCCACAAAACACCTTGACAGGATCCCAAGCTTGGGGGACAGTGCTGGGGTAGCTGCTGACCCCCTATCCATGGGGAAGGTGTTGTCTGTACATGGATTCAGGGCAAATGATCTATGCCAAACTGTTTACATAAAGGATTTGCATCAAAATCAACGTAAGGTGCCCTGAAAAAAACCTGCATAACAACTCTGGCTCCATAAAACAATTTTGCTTAAAAATAACTCTAGTGACCTGCACTTATGATTATGGTTCTCCTACTGTTAACTGTTCATGCCAGTGGCCCAGTGTGGTCCTTCCAGCTTCATAAGGGGCTGAGGATCTCACTGTGTCTGATGTTTTCAATCATTTCAAGAGCTGCTCCCCTTTGATATAGGCTGAGCTCAGATCTTGTCAGCTGAGTGAGAGTTTGGAGACAGCCGTCTGTGGCAGAGTGAGAGATGTAGGCCACTTCTGTACTCAGACATGAAAGCCCTGCTCGGGAACATTTCCAGTGGAGAGAAAAAAGGAAGGCTTCTGTACAGGAAGTGATAGGCAAGAATATGTCCTCAACATATGACAATAGGGGTGTATTTTCAACATGGTGGATGAGAAACCTACCAGCTATTCTCTCTTTCCTTGATTGGTGTATTCAGTGCTTTACATCATTATTATTGATTTCTTTTCACTGCTGTCCCCATTCCTGTCCTCTTCTTCCAACATTGTTTTCTCAAGGATGATTCTCATTCAGCGGAATATTCCTCGTGCCTCCCTCTGACAGAATTAATTTCAGGAAAGTCTGAGAATTCCTGCCCATGCCCTACAGACTATGTGGAGGTAAATAAGGTTATTTAGTCTCTCACACAAAACTCTTTATTGCGGTGAACTTCAGATTGCAGGCACATGACAATGGTTTCAGTGCAATATTCCTTTGAGGAATGTAAACATTATTTTTAAGTTAGAAACCCAGGAAATGCAGAGTTAAGATTGTACTTTTTAAGGAAGGCACCATAAAATGCTCTTTAGCTTTAATATCCACTACAGGTATGTCTACACTACAATGCTGCAGTGCTTCGGTGTACACACTCACGGCAGTAACGGGAGAGGTTCTCCCATCACTGTAGTTAATCCATCTCCCCGATAGGTGGTAGCTAGCTCGATGGAATAATTCTTTCATCAACCTAGCACTGTCTCCACCAGGGGTTAGGTTGGCGTAGTTACATCTCTCAAAGGTGTATATTTTTCACACCCCTGAGAAATGTAGCTATGCTGATGTAAGCTTTCAGTGTGACCAGCCTGATGAAGGAGCCATTATTCTGCCAAATGGAAAATTTCAGTTTGTCCCCCAAAAGTTTCAAGGCAGTAATGTTTTCAATATTCAGTCATTGGAATTGTATGGCTTTTAATTTTGTTATCAAGTGTCAAGTCCATCTACATATTTCATATCAGTGAAGCTGTATTGTTAGCATTTGAAAGTCAGTTGTTAGTCAGTTATAATATGTGTCTGGAGATTAAAGGTCCGATTTTCATTGACACTAAGTGCTGGTCTGCACACACAATTGCACTGGTTTACTAAAGTGTGTCTTTAAACCAATTTAGTTAAACTGGAGCAAGTTTGTGTGTAGGTACTCTCAGGCCTGGTCTACACTGGGGGCGAGGGGAAATCGATCTAAGTTATGCAACTTTAGCTATGTGAATAACGTAGCTGAAGTCGACGTACTTAGATTGATTTACCATGGTGTCTTCACCGTGGTGAGTCAACTGCTGCCGCTCCCCCATCGACTCCGCCTGCGCCTCTCGTGGCGGTGGAGTACAGGAGTCAACAGGAGAGT